CCCAGTTGACCTCCGACTCTGGATTCGCCACTGATTGGGAGTCTTGGGGCATGTCTAGCGACTAGTTTAGATTTAGAGAAACTCACATTTAGCAATATTTATATAAACAATGTAAAATAGGTTGGGGTTCTATTCAGGTTGAGCAGAATTGACATCGGCTGATGTAGTTGCAAAAGAGTTGACATATTTGGAATATTTGATATATTGTTGGATTTAATAGAACACCAAAAATATTCTCCACAAGTTCATGGGAATAAGCTTTTAACCTTTTGTCATTGTCTTTTTCAGGATTTCACATGGTGAATTGTGTATAAACTAGATGTTTTCCAAATGTTGAGAGATAGATATTAAATTATTTTGCTTCTCTCCAATATAATGACAGCATGAAGGCTTTATTGATGAGTTCTGGTGATACAGGATGTGTTTTCGTAGAGGTATTAATGTTATTAGTTGTACCTTCACGTTTTATTGATTTGGGGGTTGGTTGCAACAACTGAACATTGAATACTGAATGAGCTACAAAAAGAGAAGACGTCATATGGAAAATCAGGAAGACACATAGTTATTAGATTAGGAAACACGGAACCTTGTATTAAGTTACTCATATTATGCATTTGCATTCGCCACATGGATTGTTCAGTCTGTCATCTGATCCTTAGCTTGGTTTTTTGGCTATTAATAAAAAGGTTATTTTTGTTGCTATGATTAAAAAACCGTAGACAGCAGTTACTTCCTATTGTTGAATATCTGAGGATAATGAATATAAACAGGCATGCTCAATTTTTAGTCCTACATGTTTTTTTACCATTTTCCTAATATATTTTAGGTTCTTAATTCTGGGGACAGTAATATTACTCTTGGCGATCTTTCTTATGTTAGTCCACCCAGTTGTGGTGGCACCAGCTTTTGCTAGCTTCAAAACTGCAGCCAGCAGTGGGGGTCCAGCTGCTTCTGCTGCTGTAGGAACTCAACTCTTTCGTAGTGAATTACTTAGCAGTGCATGGACTGGCTTCTTGGCAGGTTGCTTACACACGTTATCTGGCCCAGATCACCTTGCTGCATTAGCTCCACTCTCAACAGGCCGTACAAGGATGGAAAGTGCTGCAGTTGGAGCCCTCTGGGGATGTGGCCATGATGCTGGACAGGTGATATTTGGCTTATTATTTTTACTTTTGGAGGATCGACTTCACATTGAAGTTATTAGAACATGGGGAACAAGAGTTGTTGGTTTTAGTCTGCTTGTAATTGGTGCCATGGGAATCAAGGAAGCTTCAGAAGTCCCTGCCCCGTGTGTTACCCTAGAGAATGGCAAAGGTGATGTTAGAATGTATGAAGCCATCGGGAATCCATCGATTGGAAAGAAGAAGATTGGGTTTGCTACGTTTGCTGCGGGGATTGCCCATGGATTACAGCCCGATGCTCTGATGATGATCTTACCTGCACTTGCATTGCCTTCTCGCTTGGCTGGTGCTGCATTTTTGAGTATGTTCTTAGTTGGGACAGTTATTGCTATGGGAAGCTATACTGTCTTTATAGGCTCTTGTAGTCAGGCACTCAGGGATAGGTCTCCTAGAATAACTGAGAAGCTCACTTGGGCATCTTCCCTTATAGCCATTGCTTTAGGGCTTGCCATTCTGATTAACCAAGCTTTTGGATTTAGCTCGTATTGATTTATGTTCGAAATTTCATTAGTTTTCTTATCGAGCTGGGGAACGATTTTGAAGTGTGACAAACCCGTTGATTTGAGAACAAGAAATTCGTCTTTGTTACTTGCATGTTAATGTAATTTTTTGTTCTTGTTATTATAATCTTAAATTTGGTGATTTTTGCATTTGGCATCTGCTGTTCCCTGCACTTTAGCATCACTCCGACGATCCCTAATTCATTGTAGAGTCTTCTGATTTTACCTAAAAGTTTTCTGTCTTTACTTTTTATCTTCTTTCCCAGCAAAAAACTTCAGTAAATAATGGAATCCTCTAAAGTAATCAATGGAGAGCGATTCGAGAAGAAATGTGCCAAAT